CATGTGAGTTAGACCTCCTGAACTTTCCTATGGCTGGTCATGCTGTTGGGACCCTTCCCTGACTGATTTCCTTCCTGGCTTGTTGCTAGTCACGTGGGTTAGACCCCTTAGCAGGACAAACAAGAGGATGAGAGAATAGCCCTTAAGCATTAAGCCCCAGGACAATGACATTCTGACCAGCATCATATACATCAAGGCTTCCATTGTGTTTCAGCTCCAGGCTCAGAAAAGCAGCAAAACCAGACAAGCAACCATGGCTGGCTTCAGGACCAGCTGCATTGACTAATGACCCCCTGCCCTGGTGCTGACCAATCAGTAGAGACCACAACCCTAGAAGGACACACCTGGAAAGCTGATGAATATTCTAATGAATTCTCCCCTGAGACCTCCAGATAAACTCCCTCATGACTGAGGACCAGTGTGGCTCTTTAGGGAGCACATCAGCGCCTTTCCCCAGCCTCTTCCCCCAGGTGCATTTTCTTGGCCTCTCTCTTTCTCCTAAGCCCATTTCTTCTACCACTCACTTCTTTTTACCTGTGTGACTATCTAAATAAACTTTATAGTTTTTGAGTCTTGGCTCTGAATTCTTTCTTAACCAGAACTCAAGTACCGAGGTTGCCGAACCGAGGGCCGGTCTGACCCCACCTGTCTAACATTTGGTGCCGTTCTTATGCTCCCAACATCATCTCCATCAAAAGACTACATTTGGAGACAGAAGAGCAAGCCCCAGAGGGGAGAATACTAGTACATTTGCAACAATATCACTAAGGATTTCTCCGATCATCGGCTCCCTCATGTGTAGGGTTAAATGAGATAATAGAGCGCCGTGCCTGGCGAGCAGGGCTCCATAAAACTTTATATTGCTCCTCTTATAACCGAGGCAGCAGGCAGGAGGACTGTACTGCAAACCATTTCCAGGCAGACAGACTCTCTCTCCTGTTTTTGACACTCCACGAAGAAAGATGTCAGACGGTTTTCCTCAACAGTCCTCACAAACCAGGGTTGAGGGCAGTCCCTAAAGTATCCCCTTGTCCTTCCAGCTGTGATTGCATGCAGATCGGGGTCCAGTTCTAAATAATACCATCGAAGGGTTAGGAGGTGCAACAGGGAGGGTGACAGTGGCTTTTACTCTCAGCTGTGTCAGCTCGACATGGGGGCTCCCCAAGTGAGTGCAAAGCCACAGAGAGGGGCTGGTCAGGAGGGAAGAAAGCCCTCTCTGCTTTCAGACATGTGGTCATTCATCATAACTGTCAGCAGGAGGCCCAGAGCATGGAAGAGGGGCTTTCAGGGTGGGTTCAAAGGCTCACCTCCTTCCTGCCGAGACAGCCCAGGTAAAGCCAGAGCTTAAATGGGGAACGTTCTGACCTGTGTGGATGGAGAAGCCTTTAGGGCAAGGCCAAGATCAGAGGCCACTCCCCGATGTGTTATGAATCCCCACCCCTCAGCAGAAGGACTTGGGTTTGCCTCTGGCTGTCCTTCTTCCTTTTATTCCTCCCCAGCGACCAGCGGCCATTGGAAAGAGGAGGACAGCGAGTCTAGAAGCATCCCGGCCGCTAACATGAGGCCGGGGGAGTGAGGATAAAGACCCTGGAGAAGGCCCACCCCATCAGTTTTAAGGGCCCGAGGCTTCACTGCTAGGACAGCATCGAGCACTTTGTGCAAACCTTTCTGTGATTTACGAACCTGCTTGCACCCTCGCAGCCTCATCTCACCACAGCCCTGTGGACTGAGCACTGTCCTTACCCCCAGTTTACAGCTGTCCACGCTGAGCTCAGAGGACTGCTTACTTCCCCAAAGCAGCCTCAGGCTACACGCCCATCCCACCTTATAGTCCTGCCTCCCTCAACATACCAACAATAAAGATACCATGAATTACCAGTTTTTAGCATCTCTTATGTGCCAAGCATATAGTCATATAGGTGCATCACTTCCATTACCTCATTTGTCCAGAAGGACCCCAGAACTAGGGGAGAAGACCCCATTTTAAAGGCCCAGAGAAGGTAATAACAATAAGAGAGCCGACGTGGTGCCAGGCACTGTTCTAAACACTCTAATGTACAATCAATCACTCAATCTTCCCAAAAATCCTGTGAGAATAAGCAGAAGTATCGCTTGCATTTCAGAGATACAGAAATTGAGGCTCAGAGACATCCAGTCCATTGGCTGAGGCCACACAGCTAGGAGAGAACAGAACTGACCCGCGTCTGGGAGTACAGGCCACTTACCCAAGTGACACATCTAGTCAGAATTTATTTGAAACCCTGCCCCACTGAACACCCAGGATCTTTCACCCAGCGATTCCACCTCAGAGGGGTTAGACGCAGTGGTTCCCAACCTTCTGGCCCTTTAAATACAGTTCCTCATGTTGTGACCCAACCATAAAATTATTTTCGTTGCTACTTCATAACTGTAATGTTGCTCCTGTTATGAATCGTCATGTAAATATCTGATATGCAGGATGGTCTCAGGCGACCCCTGTGAAAGGGTCGTTCGACCGCCAAAGGGGTCGCGACCCACAGGTTGAGAACCTCTGGGTTAGAGGGATACTCTGGGTCAAGTCTCTCCATCTAAGGGGCAGCTTTCTGCTCATCAGTCCCCAGAAACGGGATGCAGCGAGGCAGAGCCCTCCACGGTGGCATCGGGCCGGTCAGACTGACAAAGCTGGGACCCAGCCTGACCGACTCTCTTTGCCAGTTTTTCTCTCTCTGCCTGCTGGGCGCTGGCTGAAACCGGCCCCTGCCTCATTCTCTTTTTTGGTCCCCATTAAAAGCACTGAATGGGGGGTGGAGAGGGAGCTTGGAGGGAGAGTGGGTCTTCAGTGGGTAGGAGGAGCTAGCTGGGTGGGGGTGAGGAGAGGGGTGCTAGGGAGTGGTTCTGGAGTTGAGGGGAAAGGGTAACCTAGCAACCACTGGCTTATGCAGTCACAAAGCAGGCAGTCTTGTCAACAGAACCCCAAGCCTTCCCTTTGTCCTCTTGCTCCCTCCTGTTGGGGCACAGGGGCTTCTCTCCCTCATGCTATAGTGAGTGTTTGCCTTGGTGAGTCCAGGGATCTTTCCAGGGGAGGAAATGGACATGAGCCGGTCTGGGGCCCAGGGGAGGGCCCAGAGGGGCTGAGATGGGAAAGGAAGCTCTGACCTAGGATTGAAGTGAGCGTTCAGACTCTTTGTGCCTGGCTGGCT